AGTTTTTTCCTCATCTTTTGCTAAAGTTATCGTCAACCCTTTAGGTAAATTTTTTCCACACTTGTTTCGACGATCTTTTAGCTCTCCAATTTATATATGCAGTTTTTTTAATTTCTTCATTTTTAATTTTAATTGTCTCACCTTTTCACAACCTTTTCTTTCGATAATTTTAACAACTTAACTTGACTCTTTTTTGTTATAACTACAGGAATTATGTTTCTCTTTTACATAAACTTTTATTTTCTTTTTACTCATACTTTCGGAATAAAACAATTCTCATTTATTTCCTTTTGTATTTATGCTTCCAGATTTTAAATCTTTGAATTTAATTTTAATTGTCTCACCTTTTCACAACCTTTTCTTTCAATAATTTTAACAACTTAACTTGACTCTTTTTTTTGTTATAACTGCAGGAATTATGTTTCTCTTTCACATAAACTTTTGTTTTTTTTTTACTCATACTTTCGGAATCTAACAATTCTCATTTATTTTTTCTTTTTTATTTTATGATTCCAGATTTTAAATCTTTGAAATTAATTAAAATTTTCCAAGCTAACAACTTAACTCTGCTTAGCCTTATTTTAACTATAAAATTCATGTATCTTTCCCACATAACTTCTTTTCTCTAGCTTTTGGAGTTCAACAATTTTCATTTTTGTTCATTTACTTAATTTTGTCTCTCCCTTAATTTGATTAAGTCTTATCCTAACTATTGATTTTTTCAGCGATGCCAAGACGCACCCTGATTAGGAGCTCAGCCTTTGCTGACCCCAGTGACCTTAGCCCTGAGGACCTTTTCTCCCTTTCTGTTGAGTCTACCGACGACTTCGCTCGTGTCCTCCTCCCAGATGTAAATTGGAACGGTGGAGCAGTCGGCTGCCTGTCGGCCTCCCTCTCTGCGGATAACGAACGAGTCGAAAACACTACCTTTCACTTGCTGGGCGAACTCTGGGCAGACAAAATCTTCAACGTCTCCAGCTTTTGGCCAACAACAACCGCGACCTCTCTAACTTTGTCCCTGGGAAACCTCACGGTTTTCTCCTTCCCGGAAGGTTCGTTAGTCTCGAACTACGTTTGCTCCTCAGAACTAATCTTTTCGTTCACTCAGGGTGCTACTACTATTTCGGAGGACGACTTTGAAGCAGCCAACATCTCAGAATTCTGTCTACGAGCTTACGCCCACCCTACTACAGACTCCTTTGCCAAGATCGTCATCATGATCTTTCCCTGCAGTCTAGCATCTCTCGCCGCTTACCCTACCTACCAGGACACCAGATTTCCCGGAATCAGACTCACCGACGTGGAGATCCCTCTGGCTCCTATACCAACCCTCTCTCCGATACAAAGGTCCTGGGGTTTCCCTCTAGTCTGTGCAATCTTTCCGGGCTCGGATTGGTCCGAGGCTCCTGGTCTTCCTCTGGGATACAGGCTCAGGTTTGCCCTGTCAGAACTTCTGCGCTCGGCCTGTCTCCCAGAAGCAAAAGCTAATTACGCTGGTTTCCTGCTCAGACTACAAGAGATAGGCAACTCCGGAGTTGCTTTATTGGCCTCTAAGTTGCCTCCTCTCCTCTGGCCTCCGATTGCTGAGTTGCCCACAGTTGCTCAACCAACTCAAGGTTGGTTTATTTTTCACGTTTTTTCTTTTTTCTTAGCTTCTTGATCATTTTTTCATTTTCAATCTAAACTCGAAGTACGCTTGTCTTTTATTTACAATGCTTTTGCAAATAGTTGCTCTTTCTGTTACAATTTAATAATTTTAATATGAGTATGTTCTCTCAAAGTTGCAATTCACAATCTCTTTTAGTACTTTTATTTAAATCTTTATCTCCTACAGTGTGCAATTTATTAATTCTTTAGTTTATTTTTAACTTTCTTTGCAATGTACAGTTAGATTTATTTGTCTATTCAAATATTTTAGTACTTTCATTTTAAAATCTACATTCTCCTACAGTATACAATTTAATAATTTTTAGTTTAAATTACTTTTATTTACAGTTCACAATTTAAACTGTTTGTAAATTTAATTATTCGATTTTGCTTTAATGCAACAATTATATATTATGGCCCAGATTTCTCACGCTCCTAGTCAATGGTTTAATTTATCTAAGTTGATTTTTCTTTTTTCATATTTTATAACTAAATCATCTTTTGAAAGCTTGCATATTTTCCCGTAATGATTGTATTTCCTGTAATGAAGTTTATTTTTAACCTGGTCCCAAGAGGACTCACTTTTTGTCCCTAGAGGACGCAACTCTTGTCCCAAGAGGACTTAACTCTCGTCCTAAGAGGACACAACTCTTGTCCCAAGAGGACTTAACTCTTGTCCCAAGAGGACACAACTCTTGTCCCAAGAGGACACAACTCTTGTCCCAAGAGGACGCAACTCTTGTCCTGGGAAGACACAACTCTTGTCCCAAGAGGACACAACTTTTGTCCCAATAGGGAAAACAAATTTTTATCACCAAGAGATACAACTTTTATCCCAAGAGGACACGACTCTTGTCCTTAGAGGACATAGTTTGCTCCTGAGGAGTTTTTGTTTAGAAATAATTTTTCTTTTCTTGTCCCAATAGGGGAAATTTATCTTTCTTATCCAAGAGGACTCTGATTAGGTTTTCATTAATCCTGAGCCACGTTTCTTCATTTTAACTCAAACAATCAGTCCTCATTAAAAAGCCTCATTTTGAAATACTTTTTCTTTAGTTCCCTTTGTGCCAATGACGACAAAGGGCACCACTAAATATGGACCTGCTGGCCTTTTCTCTTGTGCATCTTTCTCTCACTGCACTGACAACCAGAGCTTAGCCTCATCTATCATTTATCTTTCTTTTTCTTGCTCATTGTTGAATTTTTTCATAACTATTTGACTATATTAGTATATTTTTTCAGCATCTTCACATGATGACAGCGACTCCAATGAAGCCACCGTGCTCTCAACGGACGGTCTAGACCCAGCTAACCTGCGCACGCAACTCGCCAATGAGCTCGGTAATTACTCGAGAATATTTTTTCACTAGTAATCACAAGTAATCGCAGATTCTTAGGGTTTTAAACTTTACAAATTTTTTAATTTTTCCCTCTACTTGAGAACCATAATTTCCATGGTTTTTAACCCTTGCTAATACTAACCTATTTAGGCAGGCTAGTCAGGCCCCTACCCAATGTGACCAGACAACAAACGGGTTTACAACCAACCAGTGCACTGAGCAGCATAGCTGCTCCAACTTTCTCGCAAAATGCTAACACCCTGCGAGGTCCTGGCAACTCACAGCCGGTCTTTTCTAACGCCGGTCAAGCAATCACCCATGATGCAATCCTTACATCGGCATCACTAGGAACCCAGTCACAAACAAACAAGAGGTATTGCTCATTTCTACACAGCTATATTAAATAAATCTCAGTTGCTTTTCGTTACATAACAAAACTATAGATTTATTTTTAACTAAAATAGGTTTTAAACCTTTTGAAAGGGAAATTTCTGCTTTACAATACACATCTATATTAAATAAATCTCAGTTACACAACAAAACTATAGATTTATCTTTCACTAAAATAGTTTTTTAAACCTTTTGAAAGGGAAATTTCTGCTTTACAATACACATCTATATTAAATAAATCTCAGTTACATAACAAGACAAAAAATTTATCTTTAACTAAAATAGTTTTTTAAACCTTTTGAAAGGGGAATTTCTGTTTTACAACACCTGATTAACCCTAAAATTCTCAATAAGAACATTACGACTAAATTGACTGTAGAATTTTAAACTTTTCAAATAATTAATCCTAAATCCATATCAGGAG